ACCTATGTGAATAATAAATGTAAATATAAAACTTATATTTTTTCATTAATTAAGATGAATTTGTTTTTGCATAAGCTATCTAAATCAAAAAATTCAAGTAGTAGAGTAATTTGTGAAACTATTAATAATTGAGTATTCCATTTACGTCTAAGTTAATTTTGACCCGTAAGTTATAAATAATTATTTATTTGATTTTTAATTTAAAATAAAATTCTTTTTGTTCCTTTGTCATTATATTATATAGCAAATTTAAACCATGCAACTAATCAAGGTAATAGACGCAAGTTTTGTCAATATATTATATACCAAATTTAAATTGTGTAATTAATAGATGTAATAACCGCAATATTTGACCATAATTATTCTGTCATTAATTACATTGATTTTTTTAATTTGAATTTCTAATGATTTTTTTTTCAAGACAATAGAAGACATTATATAACTCGAAAGAGAACAAAGTTATCATACAACCGGGGGAAGCCCCAATGAACCCGAAATAAAAACTGAGAGGCACATCAACAAGATGGCCTAGAACCTCATAATAGATACATCCAATACTAGACTATAGAAGTAGTTAACCACTGCCACAAGGCCTAGCACGTAACTCCTATAATCAAAAAAGGATAAAATCAAGAATAAGATACAAATAAGCAAGCAAAAATTATGAAATAGAGAGAAGTTCCTGCCATTCTGCTTGTGCTATCCTGATAACCAAATGAACTGGTAGAAGAGACTTCTGAAAAATGCATAAGTTGCGTGTTTTCCATAACCACCAAAGTTGGTAAGTTGTGAGTAATTTTGTATGTGGATGTCTCATATTTAGGAATTGAGCAGACTTGGTGCCACCAATGCTTGAAAGAGCAAGTGTGTTGAAGAATGCCCTCCCAGGAAATAGAAGCCAAATTCCAGAGTGAACTGGCTCTATGGCATTTAAACAGCAAATGTTCCATTGTTTCTTGACCATCCCCACAGCATCTGCTACAGGTATCAATCTCCAAACCTTTCCTCTGCAGGTTGACCGACACATGAAGTGTTCCATTGAGGCATTTCCAGAAAAACAACTTGATTTTCTCAGGAATCTTCAAAGACCAACTTGTTTTAAGTATTTTTTCCATAATCAGGGGAGAGGAGATGCTTTCAGGTTGATCCAGAGAGTGAGTTTTTGCTGTGCAAGATATTTATAAGTGCATGAAATTGAAAACCTCTCTTTGTTGTCCAAACCTCTGTATTTTCTATCATCATCACCTGGCTTCAAAGTCTTGATGGCTAAAATAACTTTGTTGTCCTCTTCAGAAAAGACATGTTCAATGAGCCATTGATTCCATCCAGATCCATCTTCAAGCATAAGATCTTTCACAAACACAAGGTGTCCCCTGAAAATTCCATCATCTCAGGTTTAGGTTTTTTTAGAGTTGGAACCCAATTACTGTCCTCAATCTTTGTTTGTTTCCTCTTCTGATTTCAGTGTTCAACTATTCTGGAAAAGATTGGGAGGTATCAAGCCAACAGTTCCGGAGCCATGACCCTTTGTTAGTTTTAACAACATGAAGAATAGAAGTGCTAGGGTAATATCTATTCTTTAAAACTTGGCTCACAAGTAAAACTGGTTGAGAAGTGATCCTCCAGAGCTGCTTGCAGATTAGTGCCTGATTGAAAAGTTGAATATCATGGAAGCCAATCCCTCCATTCTATTTGGGAAGTGTCATCTTAGACTAGCTCTTCCAATGTATGCCATTGGAGTTGTTCTCATTAGTTTTCCACCAAAAGTTGGCACAAAGTCTTGAAATTTCTTTGCAAATGAGCACTGGTAATTTAAAACATGACATGGTGAAAACAAGAAGAGCTTGTAAAACAGATTTCAGAAGAACTTCTTTGTCTGCTGAGGATAATAATTTGGACTTCCAACCTTGCAGCTTCCCTTGGATTGAATCCAGCAGATAAGCAAACATCTCTTTCTTTGACCTGCCTATACCTAGGGGAATTCCCAGGTATCTGGTTGATTTATTAGACTGAATGCCTTGAAGAGCTGAGCAAATTCTTTGCTGATGCAAGATGGTGTGTTCCTACTGAGAAAAATGGCAGAGTTTTGCATGTTGACTGTCTGCCCTGTGATCAATCTGTATTTAGACAACAAATTAAGAATAACATCAGCTTGATCCACTCCTACTTTGAAAAAGAACAAAGAATCATCTGCAAAGAGCAGATGAGAAAGGAGTGGGCCATTCCTAGAGATCCTCAAACCTTGCAACTATCCAGAGTTAATAGCTTACATGATAAGGGCAGACAACAATTCAGCAAGGATAATGAATAAATAAGGAGACAGGGGGTCTCCCTATCTCAGTCCTCTGGAGGGTTTGATGAACCCACAAGCTGTTCCATTCACCTTAAAAGAAATAGTAGAAGAGGAAATACAGACCAAGATGAGCTTCACAAAAGTCCCTATGAAGCCCCATCTGCATCATAATCTATTTGAGACTAAGCCACTCCACTCTATCAAATGCTTTCATCAAATTAAGCTTGAGTGACATAAATCAGTTCTTCCCCGAAGTGTGTCCATTTAGAAAGTGAAAAGCTTCTTGAGCAATAAGTACATTGTCCATAAGCTGTCTTCCTTTCAGAAAAGCTGATTGTGAGTTACTAATGCAGCTGTCCAGACAGGATTTCAACCGCCACTTTTTAAAAATGTTTAAAAAAAGTTACTAATAAAGGTAAAATTGAAATATTTTGGCGGGATTTTAGTTACTATTTTAGGTAAATATGAACCTTTTTATATACAGATATATAGATTCTAATTTAGAAGATAATCAATTTTAATTTATAACATAAAAATTTCTACTAACATAATTTCTTTAATAAATAAAATTTAACTAAATAAAAAAAATCGGTCGGCCTCGTCGCATGGTTTGGGACGACTTCATATTGTGGTCGCCGATGGTCATGGCCGGGTTTGCTTGGCAGGCGCTGCCAAGCGACCGCAAGCGACCACAATCGTTGGACGGCGGACGGCGGTCTGACCGGTTTTGCCGACCGACCGTAAAAATCGTACCACGTCGTCAGACATATTTTCGTAAAAAATTTTCTGGTTTCAAAGATTTTTTTTATTTTTTTGACATTTTTGGAATTTCAGGGGATAAACGGTCCAAGAGAGAGCGGTAGGTAGTAATAGAGGGGGCAGGGTTTAGTAATACCCAAAATAAAATAAATGGATTAAAATAGTTTTTTTTTTTTGTTGGTTAAGTAGACTTGTTTTGAAATGCAAATTTCTAGGGCTGGGATTTTCGAATCAGAATCTGGAAAACTGCTCTGAACCGAACTGAAATAAGCCGGTTCAGTCCGATTATTCATGTGAGTGGCAGGTTTTTTCCGGTTCAGGTTTTTATCTTCCTTTTTCAGTTTTCATTTCATAGTTATTACAAAAACCCAGGAACTGTTTGTGTATATATTAACCATACTCAGTTGTCTACTATGGCAATAAAACTAACCTTAGTTAGTTTATTTTGGAAAATGAATTAATGAAATTAACCAGCCTTAGTCAGATCCTCTCACATTCTTCATTCATTTTGTAACTTTTTATTTCCTCTCTCAAAAGTCAAACCTTTCTTCTTCTTGAGCCCCAAATCGCAAATCGCCAAAATCAATTAATTGAAGAACAAATTTGAAATTTCATCAATTTTGATTCGATTTTCGATGTCCAAGCCCTAAATTAATCCTAAACTCCATCATAAATCCCTTTTCCATTTGAAATTTAAAACCCTAAATCGATTTGAGTTTTGATTTTTGAGCTTCAAAACTTGAAGTTTTGAACCCTAAAACTCCCTCTTCCTTCATTCCTTGGATTCTCAATTGCTCATGGCTTCAGAATTTGAAAAGTGTAGCCACAGTCAAAGCTCAAACTCGCCTGAAGATGTTGGTACCTCAAAAGGGAAGAAACAGAACCCTAATTTGAAGAACCCACAGCCACAGAAGAAAAGAAGATTACGGGAGGCTTCAGAAGGAAAGAAGAAGAGGTCGTGGGTGTGGGGCTACTTCAACATCGTCCATAAGCCAATGATGGTTGCGAATGAAGATGGTGTGAAGGTGGAAGTTGGAAAAACTACCTGAGATGAACGTAAGTATTGCGAATCAGATCTAGATTGCAACTTGATTAGGAATGGGACTAGTACTCTCCAAAAACACCTTGAATTGCATTGTGATAGTTATCAGGGTAGTGATTTGTGGTTGGTTTGTAATGTATTAAAGTGTATTGACTTGTTAGTTGTTAGTCGCCTTGTACTCTTCTTTAATGTTTAGTAACTTTAGTTGTTTTTAAGCTCGGTTATTTTACACAATTTCGTTTTTTTTTCTTAAGAATAGGTTATCCAAAAAAATCGAAAAACCGAACCGAAACTGGGTTTTTGGTTCTACACCGGTCCTTGCCAAAAAAATTAACTTAACCGAACCGATATGAAGACAAAAAGAAAGCCGAACAGTTCTTAAGAAAAATATCAATAACCGAACCGAGCCCACCCCTAAAACTATATAAGAATGAAACATTATTGATAATTACTCCATTAATACGGGCCAATCTATATAATAAGGTACTGGAAATTAATTTGCACTTTTACGACTCAACATGATTTAAAGAAAACATGGAGACTGACAACATCTACGAACATTACTAATTGCTCTAGCAATTATTTCTCAAGAAATGTGACCAACGATGCCTTATTCTCAACAAAAGACACACGTAGACAAAATAGATATATATAAATTATAGAAGGCCGGCCCAATAAATTTGACAACCTCGCGTACAATTGGTGGGGTAGAAACCAAGCTGATTATTGAGCAAGTCGAACTCCATGTGAAAATTCTGCTGCATGTAATTACCCAAGATTATCGTAGGTCCAACACTTTGTCCAAGTGCAGTATCATATGACATTATGGTCATTCAAAGCGCCGAATAAAAATTCTCAACAAAGGAATTTTGAAGCGGCATAACCATCTTGGCTGAGCCAGCGAAAATGAAAGTTAAAGCTGGTAAATCAGAATGCTAGCATTGGGAGGAGCATTATAACACAGCCCCAATCCAGTCAACGCTTCCATCTTTTTTGACCTACTGCACCTCTTTCCCAATAATTTCTTGTTAAGCTCATGCGCAACTAGATCAAACACCACTTTCTTCATGATAGTATAGGCGGTGCCCAAATCCACAATCGTGCCGCCATAGCCGTTGGCATTCGACACGAGGTGTTTGTTCGGAACTTGGCTTTGACACTACGGACGTGGAACTCGAGTAGGTTGACGTAATAGTAGTCTAGGAATGCAGGGTGAGACTGCAGGGGCGGATCTCGAAAATACAATGAGGGGGGCCAAATTATTTAATAAAAAAAATATAAAATATTATAAGGAAAAGTGCAAATACAAAAACATGCATTCATATATAGTTGTTCTTTACGAGTTTTCATGGGCTGATATCGCTCGATAATAGCATCATTACCGATTTTCAAGAAGGTTTCTTTTTCTACATAAACTAATAGTCTATCATTTAACCAATCATCACTCATTCGATTGCTCAATCTTTCTGCAAATATGCTCTTCGAACATGGTCTGTAATCTTTGGACTGTACCTTGAGATTGGAATTCTCAATCTGGGATCAGAGGGAAGTTGAGAAGAATCGAATTCCTCAATCACCATTAAGCTTTCGATCATATTTTCTTATGCCCAGCGATACCAGAATTTTCCTCAAATCTATTTGGATTGAAAGTATCTCCTTCTGAGACATTTTCACAAACACTTTGTTGACGGGGCCTTTTTTTAAAATATCTCTCCATACCTGATATACAAAAAATAATTTATAAATTTACAATCAATAAAATTCTCTATTTTGACATATATATCACACTTTAAATATCTACAAACACAGGGATTGAATTTACAATTTCTACATAAAAATAATAAATTTACCATTACCTATAAAATATATATTAATTTTAACTCAACCAAAACATAAAGGAATTTAATTACCTTGCAAGTCGTTTCATGAACAATGGACCAAAAATTTCTCTCTTTTCCCTCTCCTCTTTTCCTTCTTTTCTCCCTCTTTTTCTTCGTATTTGTCGCTGTGCCTTTTTCTTATCTCCTTTATATTGGATTTATTTCTTCAAATCTCCTTTATATTTGATTTATTTCAACTAAGGGTGCTTGAAAATTATAATTTGTTTGTGTTATTCTAATTGGTTGTTCTCCATTCATTATTCCTTAATGCATTATATTTTTTCTATGTAATTTTTCTAATATACTATTATTTATTCCTTCTTTCTTTGTTTCTAAATCTAAATTTCTTTTTTTTTTTACTTTTGTTACTAGTTTTTTATCTAATAGTAGATTTGATAAGTAAATACCTTGTTTTTCTATATTTTCTATAATTTGGTATTCGTTTTCCATTATTTATTTTTGATTATCTAGTTTAGCTTTGTTCTTATTTCTAGGTCTATCGTTTTTCGTTAAATAGATTCCTTTTATAAATATGCCTAGGTTCGAACTAGTAGCCTTTCCAATTCAAAATCCACAAAAAACGCGATTAGTTAAAAATAGACTTTAGCGGCGCTAACCCCTTAGCGTCGCGAACACCCCCTTTTTTTGTTGTGAAGTCTCTGGCGTCAGTAACACCTCGCTAAGGCCAAACCGCCGCTGGTTTTCACACCCTTAGCGCCGCTAACCCCTTAGCGGCGCTAGGGTCTGGGCAGCTTCCGATTTTTAGTTTTTCGGGCTCGTGGACTCTCGGCTAACATCTCTCGGGTCTTTCTCGAGCTAGAAAGTCAATCCTTTGTTGTTTGGTGACACGACTGGGACGAAACACTTGGGAACCGGAACGACCTGAAACACCAAAACCGGAAGACAACACGAAAAGCAAGGAAAATAGAGATAAAAGCAAAGAAAATACTAAACACATCAAAATAAAGGTAAAACACGAGAAACGACTCGGAGGACTAGAAAAACCTAAGAAACAACCTAAAACGGGAGAAAACACATGCAAAACATAGACAAAAATAGCAACAAAAATGGGACAAAAAACTCCCCCACACTTAAACCTTTGTTCGTCCCGAACAAAAAAAAAAAGAAAAGAAAAGAAAAGGAAAATAAACAAATGAGCAAGGACAATGGCTCAAGCAAGACTAATCTCAAACCAATCAATCAAGTCAAGAAGAATTCAAATGATCACAAGAGCACACCTCAACTATTAACTTGGCCATTTTGAATACATAATCTCTCGAGTATAGAAGTGTATCATATATGCCTCACTCAATTTCTTTCTCCAATATCAACTGGGTACACTCAAATTGGTCATCAGTCGAATCAATCATAAATTTGACTATCGTCTAACTCCTACTCTAAAACAATCAAATTCATGAAACAGTGAATCAAGAGGACTTTAAGGGATGTAACGTAGGCTCTTTGGATCGGGTAGGATAAATATAGGCTAACTGGCTAAATAAAAATCAACTCAACTCAATCAGATAACCGTAATCATGATCTCCTCCGGTTGCTGACACCAACCGGTTCCTCCCACTACTCCAAAATCAACTTACTTCCCAACTTATTCACCAATTTCTTTGGACACTTTAATCCATTCGGTTTCTCCCTTTTTATTTTATATATACAAACACGAATCACCTCCAATTCTACACCCGCAACTCCACAATATCATCGTCACGAGGTTATAAAAGAAAAAAAATCAATAAGGCTCAAAGGGGGTGACTAGCGACATTATTTTCAGAAAAAGAAAAGGGAAAGGAAATACAAAGAATGCCTCAATCATATTCACGTTCATAAACCCAATTATTTCATTTCTGAGTAGACTCAAGGCAAATTTTAATTAATAACGATTCTGACCAATATCTCACGAGAAAAGAAATGAACGTGGCTCAAACCTCACACGGTAAAATAACTGTCAACAGAACAACCAAGCCAATTCATCAAGATATGCCACTCATACTCATCATCACAACTACTTGACCCAATCAATCAATCTTCAACTAGTCTTACAATACACCAAAGTCCAAGCTCAGAAAAAACACAAACAAATAATACTACAAAGTACACCGGTCCACAAAAGCAAGAGCAAAGCAAAAAAATCCTAGAAATAAAAAATAAAAAAAACATAAAAAAAACAATCCTAGAAATAAAAACTAGACCTGGTCAACCACATAGCCACGTAATCATGTAAAAACTCCCCCACACTTAAAACCGCACAATGTCCCCATTGTCGATCAGCAGTGCAAGGAAAGTTTACCCGTATAATCAACCAACACAAAAGACAGAAAAACTAACCGAAAACGGAAATAAAGAGGAAGGAAAAGTACAAACGTACAGGGCACAGTGACTAGACTAGTCACTGTGAATCCGGTGGTGCGGGTGGAGGGTGGAAGTAGTCAGACCCGGAACAACGGTGAGCCTCCATCAGCTCAAATCTCTCGCCCCATTGGGATCGGGGAAACTCCTTCGAACTGGGCTCGGGAGGACTAGTGTGGCTGTCGGTATGGTGTCCTTTCTCAGCACAGGCTCGGCCTTGCAATGACATCTTGGCGTACTCTCGCGTGCATGCTTTCTCAGTGAGCTGCTCAATTGCTCCAAAGTACGTGCACTCTTCCACGAACTTCACTTTCGGCTCAGGCCGAGGCTCTCGGACGGAAGTGAGGGTAGATTCCCCTAACACAGTCATGCTCGCAGTCCCTTCTTCACATCAATAACAGTTCTAGTGGTAGCCATGAAGGGTCACCCGAGGAGGATGGCGTGCTCCTTACCACTGTCTTGCACGTTTCCCACATCGAGTACAACGAAGTCCACGGGACTATCAGCTTCCCCAGTCGGACGAGCACATCCTCCACAATCCCCACGGGATGACGGAATGAACAATCTGCAAGCTGTAAGCGCATCTTGGTTGGCTTAAATTCTCCGAGCCCGAGCTGATGATGAACTGTGAGTGGCATGAGGTTAATGCCTGCTCCTAGATCAAGCATGCCCGAGATCTCTTCTTCATTCCCAAAGGCTAAAGTGATCACAAAGCCTCCGGGGTCTTTTTCCTTCTTAGGCAAATTATGCTGAAAGACAATCGCAGCTTCACACATAATCACCTCATCGCTACTCTCGAGCCTCTGTTTGTTCGCCGCCAATTTCTAGAAAAACCTCGCATAAGCCGGGGAGGAGATAAATCGACATTGGCCTTAGCCAACATCGCGTGAAGGTCCTGAATCATAGTTCGATCCTTCTCCTTCAACAGTCGACTTGGGAAGGGAATTTTCGGTCTGTAGGGGGTCGGAAATCTGTGTAAAGTAGGCTCGGGTGATGGTGCCACTGGGGTTTCTTCCATTTGGATGAGCTCTTTCAGGCCCTCAGGCTCGGGCATTATCACGGTCACCGCATTCGCTTGCTCTGGCTGACTCGGTAGCTTCCCTTTGTTCATATCAGCCTCGATGCTCCCAACCCGTGTGACCAGCTGGCCCACTTGCGTCTCGAGGCGTTTAATGGAAGCCTCATTGTTCATGGTTCGTTGCTGGTTGTCGACCAAAAACTGGAGGATCTTATCCATCTTCTCATCTGAGTTTGATAGGCTCGGTCCGGTTTCTGGCGCTGGCAACCTTAACATTTGTCCCCTGTGTTGCTGCTGATGGGGGACAAAGTTAGGTTGAGGCGGCTGCTGGGAGTTGTTGTTAGACCAGGAGAAGCTTGGGTGGTTTCTCCACCCGGGGTTGTACGTGTTTGAGTACGGGTCATTTCCGGGCCAGTTCTGATATCCTTGCACAGCATTTACCTCAGCTCCTTGCCCTCCGTAATTTGGCTCGAGAGCCATAGGGCACACCTCGGAACTGTGTCCCCGAACTCCACATGCGCCGCACACATTCGCAGCCATAGTCTGAACCGGTGAAGCTCCTCTTGCATTTACTAGCCGCATCTGCTCCGTGAGCTCGGCTAACTGCTGGGCCATGGCATTATTGTCCGGTCCAACCTCGTTCACTGTGGACCTCTTCCCTCTGATACTTTTCTGAGACGAATTGGCACTCATCGTCTCATAGATCACAATCATCTCTTCAGCTGTTTTGGCCCCGATATCCCCTCCGGCTGCATTGTCCACCATAAACTGCAGGTTTTGGTGAAGGGAGTCGTAGAAACAATTTTCTAATAGCCCTGGAGCGAGGTTGTGATGTAGGCATTGTCGTTGGAGGTCCTTGAATCGTTCCCAAAACTCGTGAAGAAGCTCGTTTAGCAGTTGAGCAAAAGAGACTATCTGGGATCGGATGTCTTGGGTCTTCTGATGAGAATAATACCTCCCGACAAATTTCGAGTAGACTTCGGCCCAAGTTGTGAAAGAATCCGGTGTGAGGGTCATGAGCCAGGCCTTGGCCCGGTCCTTCAGAGTCTCCGGGAAGCACTGCATCTTTAGCTGGTCCTCGGACTAACATGTAGAGGGAACGACTGGAGGACATTGTAAAACTCCCGGAGGAAGTGGAGTGGATCCTCATTTGGAAGACCATGAAAAGACGGTAGCTGGTTGTAATGGATCATCTTAAGCTCGTAGTTTCGAGCTTCTTGTGGCAACCGGATGCATAAAGTGATTAGCCCGATCATGGGTTGGGCCAAGTCTCGGAAGATGTTGCGAGGCGGTTGTTGTTCGGCCATGTCTAAGTTACTCCCTCGAATGACTTGGGGGAAAGCTCCTTTTCTATGTGTGATTTGAGGGTCAGCTCTTCTAGCAGCTCTCTCAAACTCTCGTTAACTGACTTGTTGATTGGGGATAATATACGTCCACTCCTGGTACGCATACACTCAAGCAACAAACAAGTTACGAACACCAATAGTAAAGAAAAGAAAATAAAATAAGAAAAAGAAACACAGAAAACAAGAAAAACACAAAGTCAAAGAGAAACACGAAAAATAAGATGAATAAGCGCACAAAATATGTCCTAAACCTTCCCCGGCAACGGCGCCAATTTGTTGTAAATATTTTTACCGGAGTAGAATCGAAAGATTCGAACATCGGGTCGTGTCTCTCGAGGAAGGTTAGCTGGATTACTTTGCACGTTTATTCAACCAAAAAAGAGAAACAAAATTCCTAAACATTCTAACTCAGATTTTTGGTTTGATTTTTAATTAACAACTACGAAGATAAAAAAAAACGCAAATTCAGAAAGCAGAGTAAAAGCAATCAATCAACTAGAATAAAGTAGCTAGGGAATCGGGGATAATAATCTTGATTTGATATGCAATTGTCTGGCAAGTGATTGTTCGGTTAAGTGATTTGAATAACCTGCTCGTTCAAGTACTCATCCTCAATAACTCTTCGTAACAAGAGGACAAACTTGAACGACAAATTAACAAGATATTTAACATCTAGGCAATACAGTTACAAACAAGCCTAGCTTATACGAGCTTATTTCGACCGACTCCTCCCCTTTTGGTTCCAAGAGTTGATTAATATAGACTAGAGGGTGATTAACCGACTAATCCATTAGAATACCCAACATCATGCAAGAATAAATCGGACTCAATTGAAAATCAATTGGAAGTTGAAGTGTCACCCTTCAACAATCCTCAATATTCATGTACGACAATTGAATAACCCTTTGAAAAGATCAACTCGCATAAGAAGAACAATCAACGAACTCTACAATCACAATCGAAATCAAATTATTAATCCCCTACCCCTAGCATAAGGATTTAGCTACTCATCACAAATTCAACATCAACATTCATATCCAGCAAAGCCATAACATTCATCAATGAAATGAAAGAAAAATTTACGATTAAAAACAAATCAATGTCAAAAAACAACGAGCAATCCAAATCCAAAGGCAAAATCTTGGAGTTTTCACTATCCAAGATCAAATCTAAGAGAAAAGATGAGAGAAATATGTTTTTAGATGAAGAAAAAAACGAGTACCAAGTCTGAGAATCCTCAAAATATGCCCTAGGTTCGAACTAGTAGCCTTCCCAATTAAAAACCCACAAAAAACGTGATTAGTTAAAATAGACCTTAGCGGCGCTAACCCCTTAGCGTAGCTAACCCCCCTTTTTTTGCTGTGAAGTCTCTGGCGTCGTTAGCACCTCGCTAAGGCCAAACCACCGCTAGTTTTCACACCTTTAGCGCCACTAACCCCTTAGCGGCGCTAGGGTCTGGGCAGCTTCCGATTTTTAGTTTTCCAGGCTCGTGGACTCTCGGCTAACATCTCTCGGGTCTTTCCCGAGCTAGAAAGTCAATCCTTTGTTGTTTGGTGACACGACTGGGACGAAACACTTGGGAACCGAAACGACCTGAAACACCAAAACCAGAAGACAACACGAAAAGCAAGGAAAATAGAGATAAAAGCAAAGAAAATACTAAACACATCAAAATAAAGGTAAAACATGAGAAACGACTCGGAGGACTGGAAAGACCTAAGAAACAACCTAAAATGGGGGAAAACACATGCAAAACATAGACAAAAATAGCAACAAAAAATGGGACAAACAGAGAAATAATAAGCTTGGATAAGAATATACATTCCTTTGTTAGTTAATCTGTTCAAGGACACCCTTTCGTCTTTCTCCTATACTCAATTCTCAGCAACGGCCTTGACTATCTGGGTTGTGTAATCGTCCCTCCAGAACCTTTTAACAAACTTTGGTATGTTTTCTTTCCTTGCTTATTATTTCTGAGTGTATTTAGTTCCTCATGAAGTATGAAACAAACATCTTTTATGTTATAAAGAGGATTATAAGACTCGTATTTTTCATACAACCTTGAGCTCTACCTAGAATGACAAAGTTTTGACCCTTAAATAGGCGAGAATCAACACAATTTGTGAGTGTATTTAGTTAATTGTTGAATGAAAAAGTTTAAATATTTCAAGGGTTAATAATTAAAACATTATTCGCCTTAATATTAATCACCTAATAGTCAGGTAAAGATTCGCTAACTTTATTGACTTTGTGATCAAAATTGAAAAAAACACACAAATAAACAATGGGATCAAAATTTAATCCAATAAAACTAAGGTTCAATTTCTAGATTAATTCTAAATAAAAGAGTTTACTTTCTTAAATAATGAAGTAGTTAAATGAATTGTTCACTTTTCTAGTTTGTTAGATTATGTATATATTTCACTGTGCATGATTTCAGTAAAATTTTAGGTATCTTCTCTTAATTAATGTTAAGTATGTATCTTTTGAATTATTTATTATATACAAGTTACCCCTCGATTAAGTTGTCATCTTTTACTAAGATTTATCGTTTATTAAAATTGTAAATAAATAGTTAAAATTATTTTGAGTCTTTATAAGTATTTATTATGCTATTATTGTTGGATTAATTTTCTTTAAAAATAATTATATATTAGAATTATGAAATATGGTAACTAATTTACATTAAAATTATACTAAAAATAAGGACGTTTTTTAAAACATCAATTATATATCCTTTTAAATCTTTGTTGTTTGGGTTGATTTTTGGGAGATATGAAAGAAAACAGTTTGACATATATGTGAAAGAAGCAAATTCGTGAGGAATAATGGTATGAGAATATTGAGTTTGAGTTTTAGAAGATCTAGAATATTTTGTTCGTGTATCTATATTAATTTAATTATATTAGTTATTAATTAAAAATATAATATATGATGGGTATTAGTGTATTATTAATTTACCATTATAAATAAGTCAAAGTAAGGATTTTTTAGGTAGTTCATTTGTTAATTAAAAATATAAGGTAAGATGTGTATTGGTGTATTACTAATTTGCCATTAAAAATATGTGAAAGTAAGAGTTTTTTAGGAAGTTCATATTTTTACAAAACCACTCGTCCTTTTATAATTGTATAATAAATAATAATAATAAAAACAATATAATAATAAATAATAATAAAAAATAAATAATTAAACAAGTTTTTTAAAAATATTAGTTTATTATGGCATAATCAAACCCTTTAGAATTTCGTACAGAATTGTTGTAATAACAAATTTAATATTGTTTTATTTAATTATTTGGTCATAATCAACTAAGATTGCAAAATTTATACTATTGCGATCAATATAAAGATTAATATGTAAGTTAAATAATTTATATTTATATCCTTACTTTTTACTAATGTTAAAATCTATAAAATGTGATACAGTAATTATCTAACGTATGATTTGCATCTGTGTGTATGCACATGATCGAAACTACTTGCACTAAAATGGGAAAAGGGCTATGTTATTGGACTAAAATTGCAATTTTCTCTATTATTGATTTGTGATTAAATGAACTTTCCAATCAAAATGAAATGAAAAGAGCGTCTCTCTTTTTCCTCTTGCCAAAAAAAGCCCGACACAGCGCCTCTCTCTTCTGAATCGCGTCGCCTTCCTCGGTGGCGGTGCGGCGCCGGCCGGTGATCGCGTTTGACCGTCGTCCCTCCTCTGATATCCCGGATCTATGGTGTTGCCGCGATGTGCTTGCTTTCGACGGTCCGCCTAACCCTAGTTCGTCGGAGTTGCAGCGATTGGTGGAGGCGGGCTCTTTGGTCGTCAATTGGACTGCAATTTGTGTATCTCGGTCTCGATTGGAGGTGAGTTACACTTCAATTTCGGCCTTTACTGTCTCTGTATCTGTGCAAATGGAGGGCTTCAGGCGGTTCTTTTTTTCTGGTGACACCCCGTTCGGGATTCTCTCATTCAGGTGCCAGTGCCAGTGGTGTGCGGTGATGCTGATGGGTTTGTGGGTTGTGAGGCGGGGTGGAGCTCTGCTTGTGTGTCGGGGCTGAGGGCTCGAACCCCCCCTTCCCGCTAGTGGTGTTAGACGGCGGGGTGGAGCTCTGCTTGTGTGTCGGGGCTGAGGGCTCGAACCCCCCCTCCCCTTCCCGCTAGTGGTGTTAGGCGGGCTCGGGAAGTGCTAGAGTGGGAGCAGGTTCGATTGTTCCTCCGGTTGAGGTGGGTTGTTTCGGAGTTTGGTTTGTGTTCGGGTTCGACTTCTTGTATAGGCCTTGTGGCAGTTTCGGGAGCCGTCCCTGGAACTTGGACTAATCTCTGAAATCGACTGTTCTCCGCTGGTTAGGGCTGGCTGATTTGCCGTGGAAGGGCCTTGTGTGTGTTTTTTCTTTATCTTGTTATGTGGTAGGTTTGTATTTTGGTTTGAGCGTTCTGCATGTGTGTCCATGTCCTGTATTTTTGGCTTGGGCCGTTGGCCCCTGTATGCCTGAATGTCAACTTATTATCCTGTTGGGATCGGACACTCGAGTATTATCCCGTTGGGATCCTTTTTTATTAGTTTTCGTTGTAGTTTCTGTTATTATTTTGTGTTGTTGCGAGTTTATTATTCTAGCTTTTGTTAGGTTAGGCTCTAGGCGATCCTTTTGATTTGTCTCTCAGTCTTTGGGTGTACTATTCAGCCTTTGGCTGCTTTTTTTCGCACTTTATGCTGTATATTTATATAATACAGGGTCATTTACTTTGCATGATGGGATATGACAAATTTATCCCAACAACTTTACAGCTCACCAATCAGTCCCGCGTTTACTTTGTTGTTGGAATTTGAATAACTAAATCCCATGTTTACTTTGATGGATTAATTGACAAGATAAATAAGCAAAATACTAAGTTACCCTTATTTCTGTACCAATATCGAAATCATCTTCTACCTGCCTTCACTCTCCGCCTCTAAGCCCTAAATCGTCCCTCTCCGCCTTTCAGCCCTAAATCGCCGTGAAGAACTGCGCGACGAGAGATACGAGCTACGTTGCTCCCGACGAGAAGCCGGGACTTCCTGAATTCGGCCGCAGACGACATTCTCCCGATACCCAACAGGTAAACACTGGCTTTTCGATTTTTTCCTATTTCGTGTAATTGAAAGATTCGAGCTTACCTTCCAATCGACGGAGAGAACGAGGGTATCGGAGTTGTGTGTTTCCTTTTTCGTGATTTAGTATAATTTTTTTTTCCCCCAATACTGCTTCTATTTCACAAAAGTTGAGTTCTCGTTTGCCCTGCTAAAGTGGAAATCGTTCGAACCCTAGCAGTCCTAACCCAAAAATCGGCGACGAGAACCTCATAAGCACGGATACGACTCCGCCAATTGACAATCCTGCGGTTGGTTGAATTATTTTCAATGTCTGACAATGTTGAGATTCTACTGATTGTGTACTGTGTTACTATGTTTCACGTATGATGCTAATTATGAAGATATGCCACACTTTAGTCGACATTTTTTTGTTACTGTTGGGTCTTTGTTGGTGTGTTTTAATGTCCGAGCTTTGTCTTCTGTCTTGGGTACGGGTTTTCCTATCATAATTTGTACAACAAAATCGTATTGTGTATGTGTTGCTAGAGATTATGTGTGTTGATGGTATGAAGTTCAAGGGGTTGTATGTGTTGGTAGCCTTTAATCCAGGATTGATATGATTCTCGACTCTTACCATTGAACAGTTCTATGTTCAACATTTGTGTATGCATAGCACTGGCTTCACAACATTCTCTGTGCTTGGTCAATGAGTTTATCATATTGTATGAACTTTGTTATAAAAACCCTGTGGCCAAGTACAATTGTTTGATTGATTGTGTTTGTTGTGAAATGGTGAAATTATTTATGTTTTGGGCTGTAGCCATTGAACCTCGGAGGAATCTATTTATTTACTTTGCTGTGTTAATGCTTGTAGAAACAGAAATATAATCAATAGCATTATTTAATTAGATTAAATCCCTACATGTTTGCCCATGCTCATTTAACTACGTATGTAAGTTTTATTTGTTTCAAGTTATGTTGAGGCTCCAAAACATTCTCGATATTTGTTGTTGAAGTTTTTTTTTTATGTGACCGTTGCTATTTTGGATTACTAGACCATTACTATCTTATTCTTCTCTTCAGGCAAGCAACATGTCAAATACTTCTCAAACGAGTTCAACCAATCGATATAACAGGGCCTATACCCCGTTTGAGGTTAGGCTGTGTGAACATGACGAAGAAGCCGTTGTGTTGACATCAATGAGCCCTGAAAACCCAGCCCGAAGGTTCTTGAAATGCCCTCGCCGGAAGGTAAAGTTTTTATAGTTGACTGGCATGTTTAATGTGTTTTGAAGTAGTTGTTTTTTATCCGTACATGAAGTTTTGCCTCTGATTTATGTTCATTGTTCACAGCCTATTTGAGTGGATTGATCCCGACTTGCCGCCGTTCCAAAAGGGTTGTTTCAACAAGCTGAAGGCTGAAAAGGATTGGCTGCACGCGCAACTAATGTGCAAAAATGTAATGGAGAAATTGCTATCGGAGAGGTTGGAGTTAAAAGCCACCGAGATCAAAGCACTAGAAGAGGCGAATATCCGGATGATGACTGATTTGGAGATTGCAGTAACAGAAAAAGTTGAACTACAGTCGAGACTTGATGATGTTGTATGTGAAGCTCGAAAGTTGGAGAAGAAGGTCACATTCATGAAATGTACCTTTTGGTTCATCGTTTTTGTTGTTTCACTCTTTTGTTTCTTTAAGTAAGCTTGTGTAGAATTAAACATGTTGATGTTTAATTTAAACATGTTGATGTTTAATGGTAGTCTATTTTGGTTTTGAAAAACATAAGTATGTTTTGTAAACAACTATGTTCTATTAAACATGGACCCTTTAGTTAGGTAAACCTTGCACTATGATTTATATTCTCATTATGTGTTTTCGTATGACGTGCTATGACAACTCATGGTGGCAGGTCTATAGGTAGGCTGAAGCTTGCTTTTCTTTAAAGCTGAGTTGATTTGACTTCACCACCATGTTGAACATCATGTGTACATGTCAGGGATACTAAAAATAATTGACACCCGTATCAGTGAGGTTTATGCGTATCTAATTTGGCATGTTAAAATTGAAGATATGTTAGATCTCGTAACATATAAAATAATTTTTGACCATCCACGTTAAAAAAACAGATGCATTGTCTCGTCATGAACAATGCATTGTCTCGTCATCTTTTTCGTAAAAAAAAACAGATTCCAAGGGACAGACTATGACAATTCACTACACATGACTAGAGGTAGCTTTAAGCTAATTCTGCAAATTCGACATGATTAGACAACACTAGCATGAAGCCCAAAAATCTTGCCTTACACCCTCGAATGCATGATTGATCTTGGTGCCCAAAATTTTTGCTATTTAAACACCATAATGTAGAACATGTATTCCACAACCGTAGCAGTGAGTAGGCAAATATTACTGAACTCTTATTAAAACTTGAACAATTTTCTACTTCATAAAATTGCGATGGCTCCTAATTTTGGTTTAGTGCAGGCAGACTATCTGTACGACCTAAATTGGACACCAAAGTTTGATGACTTTCTTATCGACTACTTACTTGAAGACAAGCTCTGTGGTATCTTTGTTCATAATGCAGATAATACTGAGTCCATACTTGGTGTTACGCGAGCATTCAATGCGTGGTTTAGCAAGAGTTTCACGATGGAGTACATCGAAACACGCGTTGGAGTTTTGGAGAAACGACATGATGTTTTCACGGCTCTGAAAGACAAGGCTGGTGTTCAATACGATGTCGGCCATAACAAGTACCATGCTTCGGGCAGCACTTGGGATGAAATGCTAAGGGTGAGTTTTGTCAAAAATAAATGCGTTTTCATTTGTCATACCAACAAGTACAATAACTTATATTTATTTTTTCCCCAACGTAGTGGGATGAGTTTTCCCTGGCGTACATGATGGAAGGTGACCCACATCATAACAAACTTGTGGAGTTGTTTCACGAGGAGCCACCGTACGTAAATCCTTTGCAGTGGTGTATCATTCCCGACAGCGACGACGAAGGCAAGACGAAGGGCAGTAAGGGGCGTGGCAAAAGTGTTGAAGTTATCGATGTGGAGGAGTACCCTCCAAACCGTCTGCCACCGAGTAGGTTAGTTCCCTACCCCGTTCGAACTGACATCCCCCGTAAGAAACAACCACCGCGTCCGGCCTTTTATTTGAGTAGCAGTTCAAAGGGCCCAAAAAAGAAGCAATCCATACACAGTCAAACCGGGTCAACTGATGGCTCTGTGAACCAACCCACCAACGACAACTTCTCTCACGGTGCACATGAAGCTGAGGAAAATTTTGTATCTACTGCATGTTCCGCCACTCCTATGGACTACGCGCATGATTGGCCGTGGATTTAGCTTCGTCACTATGTATTTCCCTTCTATGTTTGTTCTTGTTTCGGTGGTGTATTTTTAATGTTACTTGTGCTTGGTTGTTTGTTTAAGTGGTCTTTACTATGTTTGTTATTGTTTCGGTGTTGTACCCGTGTGTCACTTCATGTTCCTAGTTGTCTGTTACGTAGTCGTTCCATTGACAAGAAGTTTGTAATGTTATTTGTGGTTGGTGGTTTGTTCCATTGTTTCGTTGTTGTACCCGTAAAGATTCATTCACAAGATGATATAAACCATAAACATTGTCCTAATAAACATAACAATTCGTCAACACAAAAGTGTTAAATAATGTCACATCAAAAGACCATAAGGACAGAACAAAAGTGTTTAAATGTTTGTCGTACAAATACATGCTACACAGAAATTTTTACTACTCTAAACCGGGGATACCTAAACGGAATAAGTGTAAAGACCCACTCCGAATCCTCCACAATGCCATTTTCTTCAAAGAATTGGCGCATATCGCCATCCTTCAGCCGCCTCTTACCATGATTCCGGTCGATAGACATCGAATATTTGCCCCCCCTGAACATAAGCACAGCAATGTCTATCTCCGGAAACTGGCCTTCAATATGTGCGTTCCAGAACTGCATTGGTATTGGCTTCACAACAAGAAGAAAAAAAAATTTAACATACATAACATTTTATTATTAAAATTGCAAGAACAATGTATACGAAAAAACATGATGCATATTTTATTAATAAATATGCAAGAACAATGTATAAGCAAAAAAAATATTAAATTACATAATATTTTATTAATAAATATGCAATCACTTACCAACAGTGCACGCTCGACATGAGTTTTTTTTATTTTTATGCTAAACCGGTGCTGTGGAGGCCTCTCAATATCATTAGCCGTGTAGACCTTGACATTGAATGTTCGGAAATCATCTCGTTCAAAATAGAGGTAATACTCGTTACGTATATCCTCTGATTGAACGTAATACTGCCACCCATTGGCAAAATGCAGAAAAGTTCGCGGGTCGTAATCGAGCCCAGACAGAAGCTTGCACATTTCCATTGGGTTGCGACGGCCTTCAACAGTTATGAGAGTAACGGGAAAAGGCATCGCGTGTCGCCCAAAATAAATGTTTAGAAATATATAGACGACGCAAAAGTTGGTTTTTTACGTAAAAGCAAACCTTTAGCCAAGCATTCCACTTCTCATCGTCACAGGAGAAGCTTTTGAGGGTATCATTCCATCCCATACCCGAGTTATTTAATTTTATGTTAGCCAGGCTCGCATAAGTTTTCTTCCAAACATGCATTTTGGAAGTTATATGCGGGTCAACACGAATTTGACATTCAGGATGAAATTTCTTCATCTCTTTTTCCAACTGAAATGCGTAGCCCGTTCTAAAGCCGTTTTCCGTTTTCCAACCCTCGACTACAATCTCCTTAAGAGCATTAATTAGGGAACCCTCTTCTTGCAATGTCCAAACACGGCGTTTTGAGGTGGAGCCGGTCTCTTTCCCGGTATCCGCTGTAAATGATGATCCATAGCAAATATCCTGTAGCGACAATAATGTTGTAAGAACTTTTTTTTTACGGTAAAAAAGAATTTCCAAATAGAGCTATATGTCGTAAAACAAAATAGCATACTACACAAACACAAGAATATGTAATGTCGATAATCAACATAACAACATACTCAACAACCTTGATATTGTATAATAAAAAAAATATTTAATATAAGAACATTTTTCACCATTACTTAGTGTGCGAAGATTCTTATAATACATAGAGGTAGCAAAAATATGTTTGTTTATCCATTAGGGTACACCGCCCTGCCATTCTGTGAACATTTGTTAGGCTAAGAGATCGCGCTTCTGGTTCCATTCCTGACTGCATTCAACTTGATCTATATAGTCGTCGTCAGACGTTGGGTTCGAAGGTACCGGAAATTCTGGAATCTCATTCTCTATGGGGTCTTCGGGTATTGTTTTACGTATAAAGTTGTGAATAAGCGCGCACGCCATGATAATGTGATTTTGGGTCCGAATGGGGTAAAAAGAGTTACTCCTAAGAATTGCCCAACGCATTTTTAGAATGCCAAAAGCACGTTCAATCGCTTTTCTAGCTTTGGCGTGGCGAAGGTTGTAGAGTTCTCTAAAGTTTTGTGGAGCGCGGGACCCTGTACTCCATTCATCTAAGTGATATCTAACACCCCTATATGGTGCTAGAAAGCCAGGACCATTAGTATAACCACCATCCACCAAATAATAGTTTCCTGCGTTATAAACGATTGTGTTATATTTGACTTATTGTTTTACGGGTGGGCTATGTTTACACAGTTTATACTATACATAGGGAAAATACCGTTTGGGACTCGAAGAGAATTTTCCCTAGTGATTGCATCTCTCAGTACTCGATTATCTGCAGCAGACCCCTCCCAGCCACAAAGCATGTACACGAAGTTCATATTTTTATCGCACACCCCAAGTACATTAACTGATACTTGACCCTTTCGATTCCTATATCTTCCCCTATCTTTCGACAGGACTCGAACGTTAATGTATGTACCATCTAGTGCTCCTAGACACCCCTAACCAAGGAAAAAAAATGGTATTAGTTTGGAAGAAGTAGAGAAGAAAATTTTGACTGAGCGTTGTTAAGGGTCTTGTGTTGTAGGCTACCTTGAACCATTTCCACCGTTCATCTGAACAGTCATCCTCAACTGGCTGAGGTTTCGCGGCTAGAACGCTATAAAGGCGGATTACCGCATCAAGTACACGATTAAAGTACTTGCTTACAGTTCTACCTGATCTCGTAAAATCAAATTTCAAGGTGACATTCTTCTTGTGATGTGCGAGTATTGAAAGAAACATAGCAACTTGTTCACTCAATGCAACGTTTCTAGATTGAACAAGACCCCCTAAATTTTCAAGGAGGAAACAAAGGCGACCAAAACAGTTTCTATCCATACGGAGGTTTTCAAGGCAAGTGGTGTCGCTGACGTCGACTAGCCTTTGCATGTGACTCACTTGAAGGGGCACTCTATCCCTCAATCGGTATGTTAGTCCGCTAGTCAAAGAACGTCGACGGCGGCGAGGGAGTATGAACTTGTGATAGTAGTAATTAGCTACTATGAAAAAAAAAACGAGCACCAAGAACAATCTCTTCCAAAAGAGTGAGAATTAGTAATTTGTCTCGCACGTTGTCCATCTACAAAGATTGAAAAACATACGGACTTCACCCATTCAATGATCTTAATGTTTAACTCTACGGGCATTGGGAAAATATTAGACATCTGAAATGGTGTGAACATGAGCATGGAAAATTCATTTACTTTTGTTAATCTGGGTTCATATTTCCTATGCAGAAAGGAAGTGTTGAATTTTATTCACATAATAATATTTTAAACACCCCACAGTTCCCAGCATCAACTAATTTAGGCTCCAAAAATGTAACCTCTGAGCACATTCTCAACAAAATGACAGCCACACAATTCAGGAAAAAAACATAACAATGCGTTGAACACAAACCGAGCAATAAAAGTTCAAAACCACAAAAAGCAGACCTTGGAATAGTTCCACTAACAAAAAATATTGATTTCAAACATGGAAACTGAGGCTGAAAGCTGCAAGCATGATTTATAACATGGAAACTGAAGCTGAAAGCTGAAATTGGAAACAAAAAAAATCAGATTTGAAATCATGATTTGAAACTGAAAGCATGATTTCAAACCACATAACAACTTCAAGCATGATTTCAAACTGAAACTGAGACCAAGTAAATCTGACAATGAAGCGCATTTGCACCCAATACATTAGCATTTAATACATTACCATTTCAGAGGAATATTTAAATGATATTAGTGAATTTTGGTACATCCTCCCGAATAATGATGGTGCTCATATGAGTAAGAATCACAAGTTAAACAATTGAAGTACATAACATAGCCTAACAAATTCAAGCAAATCAGCAATCCAAAACCTTAACCATTATTGACAACTGTGATAGACATATAACAGATTCAAAGCAATCAAACACATAGCCTAGCAAATTTCAGTCTATTATTAATGTACAGGCATGGCACCTTGACCTTTATTGATAAAACTGAACACATTTTCAACACATTAACCACATTTACAACATACACATTAGCATGCAAAATACATCATGGTTCCATTTCAGAGGCAAATTAAACAAATGAATTACATAACACAGCCTATCGAATGCAAGCAAATCAGCAATCCACCAACTTAACTCATATGGCATGTTCAAATGACAACTGTCAGGTGCATAGAACAGATTCAAAGAAATCAAACACACAGCCTACCAAATATATAACGCACTTATTAATGTACAGGCATTCAAAGTTGACCTTTACTGCTAAAACTGAACACATTTTCAACAAAAAAATCACCAAGAAAGAGACTCTGCAGCTTAAGCTAAACGATCTCATAAAAAATGCTACACATGGCTCTTAAACTCTATTTCAAAATTACAACCTACTGCATGCTTTGAAACTGAAACTGAGACCCAAGTTAAACAAACTTGGATCTCACTTTTAGCACAGACCAACACAGCCTAACAAATTCAACCAAAACCAGCAAATCCAGCAACTTATCTCATATGACAAGTTCAAATGACAACTGACTAGTTCATAATACAGGTGAGTTGGAAATCAAACACACAGCCTGATCTTATTCAAACAAATTGAAGCAAAGTCAAGCACATCAAACACACAGCCTGATCTTATTGAAACAAATTCAAGCAAAGTCAAGCACATCAACAACATAACTCAAGCACAAGTTCAAATAACACATAACACCTATAACAAAGAAACTATCCACCCAAACCTAAGGCAGCAACTAACCTGCTGTGGCATCCAGCTGTGAGGATGAGAAACACAAGAAGACATAAATGCATAAAACAATAAAAATCAAACAGGTATGTGTTAGCATAGCACCACTGAACCTAAAAAAGAGGAACTAGTTGTACATCTTCATGTCTAGAAACCATAAATTCAAAGTTTGCATGTAGACGCAAAAAAGTCATAATAATTGTCCAAATTAAATCACCCATTCTCAGAAGGTAACGAGGCTTACCTGTACCCGCGACGGAGAGAAGCTCAGAGTGGTTGCCGACTGGAGATGGAGGTGAATTCATCAGCAGAGAAACAAACATTTTCAGAAAAAAAAGGAAAAAAATTAAATCGATTTACGAAGCACAATATTCAGACAAACGGGAACAAATCGAAATTGAAAAGGTATTACGGCAATTGTGGAGCTCACCTTTAGACCCGACGGAGATACCGAACTCTACACCCAAAAAAATAATGGCGTATTCGTTTCTGCAGAACCTAGGGCAAAATGTGCGACTTCAAAAGTTGTTCAACGAAAATTGCGACAGATGAAAGTAAATCATTAGAAAAGCAAAGCATGAGAAAGAGAGGAGCTCACAGTTACGAACAAGAAGCTTCTACCACCTAGCAACAATGGCGTCGCGTCGCTCGTCTGTGCAGATAGGGCAAAATGGCTGATTTTGCTTTTTGTTGGTAACAAAGACGTAATTGCTTGGAAAAATAAGGGGTAATTCTGTCTGTTTGCATCAAATATTGAGGGCAAGAAATGCATATTAAAGTTGAGATTATTTTGTCACAGGGGGGAGGCCGAATTTTTTTAATCCGAGATTGGCCGATATGGGCGCGCCACGTGAGCGCCAACTCAGCATATTCCCATCCCACTTCCGTTAAGTAAACGCAGTATTTCTGGGATTATTTTGCTTATCCTGTCCTATCCCACAAAGTAAACGCCCCCTCACTAAATACTCAATATCNCAACTTTCCAATCCAACCCTCAAGCGCAACAGTGGCCTCCAAAGCCGATCCCTCTCTCCCGTTTTCCTTTCCTCAACCCCTTTCGATTAGATCGGATGGCAACTGACGCGGCGGTTCCTACATCAGAACTTCAGGCGGAGACACCGGCCACCGTGGAGAAACAACCGAACAAGCTCGAGAGGAAGTGGACGTTTTGGTTCGACAATCAGTCCAAACCGAAACAGGGAGCCTCCTGGGGCTCCAATCTCCGCAAGCTTTACACTTTCGACACAGTCGAGGAGTTCTGGTGGTACGTGACGATAAAACAGCTCCAGATGTCTGTTTTTTATGAAATATATCTGGCTTTGCTTAATATTTTGGATTTGGGGAATTTCCCTTTTGTACTTGTCTGTACTATGTAGGTCACCATTAAATGTGACGCGTTGGTTGTTGTCTTTCAATGGCGTTTTTAATGATGGATTATTTTTTCCATTTTTATTGGAGATTCTTCGAGCAAAACTTTATTTGTTGTTGTTTGTGTTGTTGTTTGACTGTTTTCATCCACCAGCGACTCCATCTCCATGTATTGCTCTATTTGCTTGTCTAACGTAATTATTTGATCTTTGTTTTATAGAATATGAAATTTCGTTCATAACCTTCTTCAACTAGGAGGGTGATAAACTTTTATAAGATGCATTTCTTATCGGTTAGGAAAATCATGATTATGTTAGTTTACAGACATGATGAACTATAAGGTGAACTATAGAATTTGGATATATTTAAGCTTGGTTGTGGTTATAAATACTTTATTAAACATTGTAAAGGAAATGAGGAGCTCTCTATTCATGAAATTGTAAATTGGTTACTAATTAGAACTTCAACCTAAACAAAGAGAAGCATTTGATGATGGCATGATGCATTTCCCATTTGGACTTTGTTGTGTACTGAAAATGGTATGAAGAGTTTCTATCACTTATAAAGTGATCTGCTGATTTCTCTTGCAGTTTATATGACAAGATATTCAGACCAAGCAAGTTCCCTGCACCTTCCGACTTTCATTTATTCAGAGCTGGAGTGGAGCCCAAGTGGGAGGACCCAGAGTGTGCTAATGGGGGAAAGTGGACTGTTACCAGCAGCAAGAAGGCTGATCTGGATACCATGTGGCTTGAAACTGTAAGACATCCATATTCTTCTAGTTTGCAAGTTTTTTTTACTTATAAACATTATAAGAGAATAACAGCAAACTTTTTATTGTTTTGTTCCATTGAAATGCCTCTGTAAATGGTATATGATAATGGATAGGAATTATGTTTAGTGGATAATACAGTTTTCGATTTGCCAGTTGTTACTCAAAATGTCTCAAATCGTGCCTCCCTCTCTCACACACACACAAACACACAATATGTAACATCTTAACAGCAGTCCTACATCTATTTCTTCCTCAGTTCACTTTTGGGACAGGTCCTCTTTGATGTTGTGATTTCAGAGTCTAACATGTTGATTGATGAAAGCATTGGGTTTTATCATCTTCGCACTTGACTATTTTTTTTTTCTTTTTCTTTTGGCTGCTGCATTTTGTCCGTTAGTTAATGGCTTTAATTGGGGAGCAATTTGATGAGGCCGATGAGATATGCGGAGTGGTTGCCAGTGTGCGCCAACGGCAAGATAAACTCTCGTTATGGACCAAGAATGCAGCCAATGAAGCAGCTCAGGTACTTGAGTTAGATAGATTTCTACTTGATGTAGTTTACAATCGCTTGAAAATAAACCCAGCTGAAAAATATTATATTGACATACAAAGCAATCTGTAGTTTGCATATTTCATAGAACCTCCTAACGTCGCAAACAACTATACTTAAAATCATTAATTGGGTATTCCAGTTAACTAGTAATGTTAGAGGCCCTTTTCCATGTCAGTTTTTGAAAAGAGACAGCAACTGTGTGTCATTTACATTTTAATTGCCTCCCAAGTCTCATATGTGCACCCTATAATTGCCACATCTATAGCCATCAATATTGCAATGGTTAGTATGACAGAAAGAATTAAGGTTTGAATGTGAGTGGTTCTGGTGAATGATTTAGAATATCGTGTGATAATTCTTGGGGGAGGAAACATGCTTGTTTTTCCCTCCATTTCTGTGAACACATGCTTGGGCTCGTGTCAGTTTGTGTTTAGATCAATGTTATCAAAACCGGACCGGTCATTGAACCGGTGAAGCTACTGGTTCAATGGTTCACTGGTCGGACCAGTGGTCGAACCGGTCGAACCGGTTTAACTAATATACAATTTATTTATTTATTTTATATGTATAATATATAATTATATATATATATATATATATATATTTTTATCATTAATTTTATATTAATTTTATAGCATATAATGATATTTTTCTAAATAAGAGTTGATAAATCAATATTTTAAGTATAGTTTACCATAAGCAATACTAAATTAAGTTCACTAAAACAATAGATTAATAATTCAATATCTATTATCTAAAGCAAGACAATCCAAATTACAAATACAAACTACAAAGTCATCAAATCAAAATATATTCAATCCAACATTACAATTCATCAAACATCAAAATACTCTCTCACTCTTTTCCTTTTGTTTGATTTTTTTTTTTATTTCATTAATTTTTTTTTTCAAATTTTAGAACCGGTTCGACTGGTTCACCGGTTTTACCGGTTTTGAACCGGTTCGAACGGTTCGAAATCGGTTCTTGTTCTCAGCGGTTTAAACACTCAAACCGGACCGGTACTAGGTCCGGTTCCCGGTCCAACCGGTCGAACCGGCCGGTCCGGTCCGGTTTTGATAACATTGGTTTAGATATAGCTTTAATCGTTTATGTGTTGCTGTTGAAAACATATAGAATGTTGAGCCATTCCTCATGAAGTTTCATTTTATACAAAATTTTCAATCAAGTTTTGCAATGCAGATGGGCATTGGGAGGAAGTGGAAGGAGATTGTCGATGTCACTGATAAGATTTCCTACAGCTTCCATGTATGTGTGTGTGTGTGTGTGTGTGTTTTACATTAGTGTTTTGGCACTTTCATGACTGTCTTTCTCACATTATTTCTTTTTCCCGTGGGATTCTATAGGATGACTCCAGGAGGGAAAAATCAGCAAAAAGTCGATATCATGTATGAAGAATGGTCAAATCATATAGTTTAAACAATCATGCTTGTGATCAAGCTCTGGAACTTGAAGCAAAGCTCTGGAACTTGATTGAGAATACACTACCCTCCAATCTACTTGCAATTGGATCACTAGTCTTTTGTGTGAGATATATTTTATGCATGGTGTCAAACTTGAATTGTTCTCAGTAGTTCCATCCTTTTCAGTAAGGTTTAACAAGGATTTTTCTCAGTAGTTCCGTCCTTCTCATCAAGTTTAACAAGGATTTTTAACCATGAGGCCTGAGAAAGATGTATTTGTTCTTAAACTATGATTTTGTTGTTGTTTTGTATTTTAAACATTGTTCTTTCTCATACTATGATTTTATTGTTGTTTTGTATTTTGAATATTGTTCTTTACATTACAGAAACAATTCAAACCTGGATATTACCACCTTCCAATTTCAATATTTCTGCTATATATAGCATCTCACTTGCAATGTTTCTAATATTAAAATGAAAAGTTGGCTCCATTGATCGACATAATCGAAAAGGTAGGAAACAAGTGTTCTTGTTGCAATTTTGATCTAAGCTCGGTTCTTGTTGCGTTAAATATATGTGGAAAAATATCACTATTCTAGGAAAATTCTAGAAAAAAATCTCTCCAATGGAAGCTAGGGTTTCCATCGCATTAGGGACGCATTCCTGGGTCGCAAGCAAATACATTATCCATTTAGGGGCAGGTTTCAAAGCCTCAACTGTGCTTTCTTCTCCTACCCTCCTCTATCATTGACCAATTCTTGCCCTTCCGTCTCCCTTCTCAGTTGCTGGCAGAAGTTTCCACGGGGACTTTGTTGTTCTAATCTCCTTCCTAATTCTGCACCTTTTGGTTGTTTATGTTGTGGCTTGTAGACGCTCTGTACTTCTCTCCTATACTATCTCGACCTTCCTTGTTGACAATGTAAGAAGACTTGGTTCACAAATTAGGGGATTTCCAATTGGGAGATATTGTTGACAATGTAAGAAGACTTGGTTCACAAATTAGGGGATTTCCAATTGGGAGATAGAGAAGCTCATACGATCTCAATTGTTGTTGAAGATATTAAATTAAGCTCTGAGGAATGCCATCGAAGCCTGTTTGGGAACATAATTGGGCAGAAGAAAGCTCACCTCACTGGCCTAAAAAGACTGATTGCGCAATTCTGGCAAACTAGGGCTGCAGTCAATATTTGGGAATTATGCCCCAATATTTTCTAGTTTCCTTGATCGTCGGTCGGAGCACATCCAACTTTAATGACTGTGTTTGGTAAGTCAAATAAGCTAGCTTATAGCTTATTTGGTTAGCTTATAAGCTCCCTGTATTCAAATAAGCCTCGCTTGATAGGACGAGCTTTTTTAAAAAGCTCGAGCTTATCTCATAAGCTACTTTAGGTAGCTTTTCAAATAAGCTAGTTGAATTTTTTATTTAAACTAGCTTATCTGCTAATTTTACCATATACTTTTATCATATAAGCTAGTTTGTCAACTATAAGTCAAAAGCTATAAGCCATAAGCTAAAAAATTACAAGTAAGCTATAGGCTAGCTTATCAGCTAGCTTATCATAGACGTGACCAGGTGCCGGGTCCGGGCCAGGCCCGGTCCGGCCCGCCGGGTCCACCGTCCACATGGACGAGGCCCGAACCCGGACCGAAAAAAGTGACGGTCCGGGACCGGTTCGGGCCCGGGACCCGCCGGTTTTCGACCGGTTCGGGCCGGTTCCGACGGTTCCCGGTTTTTTTTTTTTTTTTTTTTTGGTAAATAAAAAATATGTTGAGATGTATTACCGGTTTTGATTGATCGGCCGATATAGTGTTATTTCGTAGGAGTTGCGAAATTCAATTTTACTATGTTAGTTAAACAATATCTTGATTTTCATCAACGTCATCATGCAATCCGACTCCAATACACAGTCTCGAGTAATATATCCGTTCTTTTTGTTAGCGGCCTCAAGCATGTTACTTAACGGAAGCTGTCTTCCAAGTTATCATCGTTGGCGTACAAGATGTTGATACTATTATCCCACAATTCCATAAGGGTACATACCTTTTCACGCATCACTTGTACTGTTGGATAATGCTATCAAATTAATGTTAAATGTTGATGACTCAACTGCAACTTTATCATTACACTATTTTGCGTTCCTTTGCTCGACGTTAAGTAAGAATTCAAAAGATAACTAAGTATGTATAAACGTTCTATTGTTTGTGTCATAGCAGGCGAAATTTAGAATTGAACGCATAATACATAATAAAGAATATTGACATGACATCACAATTCCCTTTTGTTGTTAATGTTTTTGAGTTAATATTTGAACTTTAGAAGATGAACTCAAAACATTAACTTCATTTAGGACAATGATATCAGGTCAATATTCTCCATTACATATTATGCTGTCAATGCTAGATTACGCCTGCTATGGCACAAACAACAGAACGTTTATACATATTTAGTTATCTTTTGAATTCTTAGTTAACGTCGAGCAGAGGAACGCAAAATAATGCAATGGTAAAGTTGCAGTTGAGTCATCAACATTTGACATTAATTTTATTATCATTATCCAACGGTACCAGTTATGGATGAAAAGGTATGTACCCGTATGGGACTGTGGGATAATAGTATCAACATCTTGCACAGCAAAGACGATAACTTGGACAACATCTATTAAGTAACATGCTTGAGGATACTAACAAAAAGAACGGATATATTACTCCAGATTGTGTATTGAAGTCGGATTGCATGATGACGTTGATGAAACTCAAGATACTGTTGAATTAACATATGTATTTGAGAAAGATGTTTTATAATGGAAACAATTGCGAATCAAAGTCCCCTTATATTTGTGTCAATTAAGGTGCCTACGTACCCCTTATATTGAGAATCAAAGTCCACGTAGTTCTTTTAAGTTTCAATATTAGGCATTCGTTTTTTAAGGTCGTGATTCATTGTGGATTTCAGTTCTAAGAATTTTAAAAAGTTTATCAATTAGAGTTGAAAGCAATAACATCAATTAAACCGTTTATGCCACGCACACATTCTCTCATTGTGGATGCTGTTTCTGACTCTCTCATACGCCTACAATACAACAATATAGAGATAGTATACACAAACAAACTTCAACAAACTTCAAGTATTGAAAAATTTGTATGTCGGCCTGTGTCGTAGAACTCTAACTGTTATATTGTAGACGTATGCGAGAGTGAGAAGCAGGATCCACAATGGGAGAATGTGGACGTGGCATACTCGATGTAATTGATGTTATTGTTTAAATTTGTGAAAGATGTTTTATAACGGAAACAATTGCTGTTGGCATCGGTTACGGGGTTCTTAAATGTTCAACAATCATCCAACACAGCAAGAAAGCTACAGTCTTTTCCACACACACTAAAACTATTGGATTATTGTATCAAATTATATTTAGTGGTGTGTGAAAAAGACTGCAGCTTTCTTGCTATGTTGGAAGACTGTTGAGCATGTAAGAACCCTGTAAACGACGCCAACTGCGATTGTCTCCGTTATAGAACATCCTTCTACTGATGTAATTTAACTTATTTTAATTGATATTTTAACTGAAGGATTAAGGTGCCTACGTATTAGTGGTGTGTCAAAAAGTCCAAGTACTTTTTGTTAATTTACTTACAACTCAAGAAATTCCAAAAATTGACTAATAACATCAATTACGCCAATAATGCCACGCACACAATCTCCGTTGTTGATATTGCGTCGCACTCTCTAATACGTCTAGAATACAATAACGGAGATTGTGGACGGGACATTATTGGAATAATTGATATTATTGCCTGGATTTCTGAACAATGTTTTCTGAAAGATGTAATTTAACTTATTTTAATTGATATTTTAACTGAAGGATTAAGGTGCCTACGTATTAGTGGTGTGTCAAAAAGTCCAAGTACTTTTTGTTAATTTACTTACAACTCAAGAAATTCCAAAAATTGACTAATAACATCAATTACGCCAATAATGCCACGCACACAACCTCCGTTGTTGATATTGCGTCGCACTCTCTAATACGTCTAGAATACAACAACAGAGATTGTGGACGAGACATTATTGGAATAATTGATATTATTGCCTGGATTTCTGAACAATGTTTTCTGAAAGATGTAATTTAACTTATTTTAATTGATATTTTAACTGAAGGATTAAGGTGCCTACGTATTAGTGGTGTGTCAAAAAGTCCAAGTACTTTTTGTTAATTTACTTACAACTCAAGAAATTCCAATAATTGACTAATAACATCAATTACACCAATAATGCCACGCACACAATCTCCGTTGTTGATATTGCGTCGCACTCTCTAATACGTCTAGAATACAACAACGGAGATTGTGGACGGGGCATTATTGGAATAATTGATATTATTGCCTGGATTTCTGAACAATGTTTTCTGGAAGATGTAATTTAATTTATTTTAATTGATATTTTAACTAAAGGATTAAGGTGCCTACGTATTAGTGGTGTGTCAAAAAGTCCAAGTACTTTTTTGTTAATTTACTTACAACTCAAGAAATTCCAAAAATTGACTAATAACATCAATTACGCCAATAATGCCACGCACACAATCTCCGTTGTTGATATTGCGTCGCACTCTCTAATACGTCTAGAATACAACAACGGAGATTGTGGACGGGGCATTATTGGAATAATTGATATTATTGCCTGGATTTCTGAACAATGTTTTCTAGAGGCAAATTAATTCTTGTTAAGTTAAGTTAAGATACTGCGATTGTCTTCATTATAGAACATCCTTCTATTGATCTAATTTAACTTATTTTAATTGATATTATTGCCTCAATTTCTGAACAATGTTTCTACAGGAAAATTAATTCTTTTTACGTTTAGATATTTTAAAATTGATATAAATATAAAAAAAAAAATTGGACTTGAGCTTAATTGACATTTATTAAGTTAAAATATCATATAACTTGAACTTTTTTTTTTGTTTTGGGAAAAAAATGATATTTTAACTTATAAATGGCAATTAAGTTGCCTACGTATCCCTTATATTGGGAATCAAAGTCCACGTAGTTCTTTCGATTT